CCAAGGACAGGTCTGATTGGTTATGAGTGACCAGTGTTCAGCACCAAGGACAGGTCTGATTGGTTATGAGTGACCAGTCCTCAGCACCAAGGTCAGGTCCGATTGGTTACGAGTGACCAGTCCTCAGCAGCAAGGACAAGCCAGCTTTATCTTACTACTGGTAGTAGTAGTATATAGGAAAATAATAGGAACTTCGACTTACCCCATCTCTATTAAATACTTGGTAATTTCAATGTGACCATGGGCTGCTGCACACATCAGGGGGGTCTTGAAATACTTGTCCCTGGTGTCGATAGGATAGTTGTTCTGGAAGGCTTGTTTCAGTGACTCTATGTCCCCTAGTTTAGCAGCCTCGCTGATGTTGATGTAGGTTTTCTGCGGATGCTGCAGGTACCACCAGGAGTCGTCCTGTAGGGGGTGCTCAGGGGGGTGGTCCCGGTCGAACCTCCCCGTGTCTGTCCAGTGAGTGGCCCGTGGGATCAGGTGAGCTGGAGGGGCGCCACCCGGCATCCGGGGGCCTTCAGGCAGGGTGCAGATCGGAACGTAGATCTTCGTCTTCCCTCCCTTCTTCCTCCCCTTCTTCCCTCCCTTCTTCTTCTTCTTAGACTTGGGTTCATAACTAGACATAAGGTAGGTTTTCGAGAGGAACTGCTTTCCTGATAGGAACACCTTAGTGTCGATAACCCCTTCCCTAGTTTTATCGTGCTCTGTCAGTAGTTTCTTCATATGGTCGTCATCAGGAATTGGTGCTTTCAGCTTTTTCAAGACCTGGACAAAGTCTTCCTTGTTGACTTTGTAGTCCTTTTCATCGTCTCCAGTGTATAGTTTGGAAAATTCTGCTATCAGGTCATCCTGTCTTTCCACACACCAGTCGTACAAGAATACCATCCAAGGGGCATTAGGGTTCTTCATGCCAGGTTTGGAGTACTTAGTGTAGGCATTTTCTGCCTTCCTGAGTTCTTTTCCTGCTGCTTTGCTACCTGCTTCCTTTGCAATGGCCCGTGGTGTCATGCCGTCACTATTCTTCAACTTTGGCGGACAACCTGTGTGGAAGAGACAAAGAGATCATGGTACCATCTACAAGGTTAACATCTATAAAACCAAGACAGGTAGTATTGCTTACCCTGCCAAACAGGCCTGTAAAAATCTTCCCATTATTTCCCATCAGGGTCATGTCACAGGCACTTGGCAGCAGATCTATTGGCGAGCCCAAACTAATGGTTCTCTTGACAGTATTTTGACAATGCAGGAAAATAATCAAGATTGGAAAGAAAACTGGAATTTTCCAAGTAGAAGGCTGACAATGTCCTCACCTCTCTGTGCCAGGAACTTGCAGCAGCTGTCATGTCCTCCTCTAGCAGCGTAGTGGATCGGTGTATTGCCGTCCGAAGCCACTTGGTTAAAGTCCGCCCCGAAGGCAGCCATGACCTTCAGCACGTCAAAGAACCCGCCCGTAGCAGCCCTGTGTGCGGCGTGGTGACCCTTCCTGTCCACAGCGTTCACGTCTCCCCCCTTCTGCAGGATACACCTGACGACAGCCGCACTCCCCGCACCGGCTGCCTCCATTAGAGGGGTGGTCCCCATCAACTGGAAAATGGCGGGAAAGCTCATTCAGCACCAAGGTCATGGACATTTTCACTTAAACTTACAATTTTACAGGAAAAACTATTTTCAAGAGGGGTACTTCCCATCAAATGGAAAATGGTGGGAAAGGTCATTCAGCACCAAGGCCATGGACATTTTCACACATTTTTATGGAAAGCAGTCAGCTGTTTTCCAACGTAAGGATTGGACTCACCGATTTATCAACCATTTTCACAAGTCTTCAATGGATTCCTGTTATGTCCTAATAAACAGCGTTCAGCTTTTAACAAATGGCTTCTTTCTCACAAGATTGTAAGCCTCTAGCTTTGGAAAACTCGTCCTCTCCTTTCAGCACCGCCAGATATATCACAGTGTGTTACCTCTGGTTGCTATAACATTGTTTAACACAACAGGCAGCTATGTCATGAGAGGATGAGAGAGCTACACATAAGCTGTTCTTCTGCCAGACTGCACAATTAGCCATCTTTACATTACAGACAGTACATCACCATGGGTCCAATTTATCTCTGTCAACAATTTGCAAGGTGAACCGTTCTAAATGTCTTTGTGTGACGTCTTGGAGACCGTTGCCATTTTTCAACTGCATGATTATATCAAGAGGAGCTATTGTTATCAGTATGATGTGTTATACATTGTCACGTTTTACGGGCATCTATCTGAACTGAATTATCATTTTCTTGCCGCCCATTACCCATCCTGTAAAAACTGTTGTAAATTCTTCAGAATGGAATTAAACCAATGGTAATGTAATTCACCATGACGTATATCCCTATGAACAATGATGGGTTTAACTTGTCAGAGCCAATATGAAAGTTTAATGGCCATCAATAGTGTATACTGTCAAAGCATGCTTTGTTAGGGTTGAATGCTAATGGTGCATTAATGTCAAGTTTGTGTAGCCCTTTGGGGACTTCTGCAATCTACCACAGACATCTAACTCATGTGAGTCTCTGAGTTTGGGACTGTTTGTGACTATGTCACTAAGGACGTCATCTGGCAACTGAAGTCCCTGAAAATCAGGCTAGGCAACACCTAGGCAACTGATGTCTACTGAAGGATCTGCAGCACAGATTTAAGGAATGAATTGGTCGCATAAAAGATCTTTTTATGATATCCTTGCATCTGGTAGAGAAAAAAAAATCATATTTATCATATTTTGGTAAGGCAGGCCCTCTCTGACACATTCATTAATTAGATGTATGACACATTCCAGTTTGTTGAGGGTCAAAATGGAGATCACCAGCAGATGCACAACCTAGAAACATAGAATGTACACTTGTGACAAAAATGGCAAAAAAATGGCTTTACTAAAAAAACTGCTTGCTGTCTGTTTCTCCTTTCAAAGTACCATGTGTGTCCATATTATCCAAAGCCTGTTTGGTCTGTTATTCAATAAGCAGCCTTTACAAAGTAACAGGGATGTTATTTTTCTGGAGGCATGAGCAGCATGTAACAAGATAAGACTGAAATGTGCTGAACAATAGTGTTGGAATAATTGGAGCAAATTGATAGTGTAGTGTTTCAAAAGGGTCAGTGATATGCCTGGGTACATTTACCACAACACGCAAACTACTTTAGACTGGGTTTACTCTGCTGTAGAACATGCTTTAGACCTGCATTAGGCATAGACACAAAAAATGGTTTCTAATGTCAACACAATACAAATAATGTGTTGAAAGCTTTAAATGTTGTAGGAAAGGGCATGTTGGCTAATTAGATAATTTCATTAGTCTCATAATCTTTCAAATGCCGTTTAAATTTGTAAGCCAGGTGATTTATATCTCATATAGCATTACTGTTATAACTGTTACATTAGACAAGTACAATATACTTAAGTGGCCACAATTATGACTTTATTGATATTTTATTGAGGAATATTGATCATAAATCATGACTTCAGCTTTTCTGGGTTACGAACATCTGTTTGAAAATGTCAAACACAGTGCTTTGTCTTCAACTTCACAAAAGCAGCTGACTAGTTCACTTTGTTCATGTAGTCTCTGTAATCCGTTATTTGTTCTCATGGCTTGACCATGCCATGTTAACCATAGATATGAATAATACCTTTCAGTTCTGTGTTCAAAGTCCTAAGGCACACCTGACATTTGGTGGAAGGCAATATTTGTTCAGGTTGACATGAGCAAATCCTCTGTAGGCAGGAGCAAGCAGTTGATTTATTGTGCTCTGTACACGTACCTGTGGTTAAGGCGGGATTTCAAAACAAGATGTTTCTACACACAGGTATGTGAGGGACTTCAAAGTCAGCTATTGAAGTGTCTCGTAAGTACTAGCTGCTAAGAGCATACATTAGACTGGTGACATTCAGGAGCTGGTACTGAAGGGAGGGGCTGTCAAAGGTTTTTTTTAATACTGCTGCTTTGTAAAAAAAAAAAAAAAGCACTGTACAAACCACAATTCAGCTATTTGTGCTGCATTTGTCTTTGATAAACAAACCATTTTCTCTCTCTCTCTCTCTCTCTCTCTCTCTCTCTCATGTGTCCAAATGTCCACAGCACAATTTTGATTCTGAATGTGAATTTCAACACAATACCAGTATATTTCTGATAGCTTGTATGTGAACTTATATTTGCTTAACCTCCCAATTAACTATGCTTCTCTATCAACATGTTTTACCTCATGTTTGATGTTGGGGTCTGCTCCCTTCTCCAGAAGCTTGATGCACATCTCCTCGTTCTCCATGGCAGTGGAGCAGGCCACCGTGAGGACAGGTTTCCCGTCGTGGGCCTTGTTGTTGACCGGTGCTCCATGCTGCAGCGCAATCTCTAGGCAGTGGGTGTGGCGTTGGGTAGGGCAGATACAGTAGAACAGTATACCTACAGAGAGGAAGGAAGGACACAAGTCAGACATTCACACATTACACTAGAGTTAAAACCTATGTCTTCATAGATTTCACCTTAATTAATGTTACACTACTAGAGTTAAAACCTATGTCTTCATAGATTTCACCTTAAATTAATGTTGGATTGTCATCAGACAGATGATCAGATTCCTGAAAAGACTTTTAAACTTGTATTTAATCCAGGCCATATCCTTGTGGAGTGAACATTCATCTGAATACCCCAGACTTTCCTTGGCAATTAAGTGTTGGTTGGTGTTCATGCTTTATAAACAAGAACAAAGGTAATGTCTCAAGTGCTTGGTCATTTGTGTGACATTGATGATCAGAGCCTTTCTGCTTACTTCTCTGGGAATGATGATTTCTTAAGGACTTTTGTCAAGGTCTGATGGGTAGAAAAATAAAAGGTTTGGCCATTTACTCCACTAGCCCAACTGCTGAACAGTAACAAAATCCATTAAACACAATCATGTGTTGGGAAAGGCTCCACTCACAGTCACAACCAAACAACCGTTCCCCAGTCTTTGTCGTCCAAGAATAATTAACCAAGTTACCTCGCTGTAGATTCAATTGTGCCTAATTTCCTAATCTGTTTATGCCTTAAAAGCATCCGGCTACGGCAGTGAAAGGAAACCTCAGTCACTGCGTCAATTTTGCCATGACAAGTTAATCCTTCAATCCATCACATTCTTCACACGTTAAGGATCACAAACAAATCACATCTCAGTACCCCGGGCAAACCTCAGAACTCGGGCCTACTCAAATAATCCGAAATGCATTACACGCGGATTGCTCACTGGCTGCTGGCTGTTCTCCTGGCAACCTGGACCACTTTCCCAACCACGCATTTGTTTGACCTACAACAATGTTAATCCCACTAAGCAGTCCTTCAAACCCTGGCGCTGAGTCAGGTTTGGACAGACCACCAGTACACAAGGAAACTTTCAAATGCTTTTCCAGTAGAGATTTGAAATGTAAGGCAAGAAAATATTCAGATAAAGGAAAAAACAGCTTTCTCCTTTCTTCCAGTTCGAAATGTGAAAGAGTGGTATGTAATTGCAAATTAGAAATACTAATCTGACTTTCTTTTGGCTTTTCAACATTACTTTCAATTAATTGACACGTTCTTTTTACAACCTGAGGTATTCTTATCCACAAGCCTGAGCTTTATCAAAATCTGGGTGAAATGTGTTGCAACACCTGTCCGTTCCCATGCAGTAAGTGTAAATAACCAAGTTTCATAAAGTGTAAATAACCAAGTTTCATAAAGTGTAAATAACCAAGTTTCATATACACGTCTTGTACTTCATTTCATGACCACCAGTTTGGAGCAATTATTGTGATTTTCTCCTCCAGGAGGCACAAATACTGGCCTTATCTTTAGTTAATAAGCAGAAACAAAACATTCCTTTGTCAAACGTTGCACAACATGCAGCAACAAGGAATCGTGAAGGAATGTGAAAAGCAAGTGTGTCCGTTTGCAGCCATGGTTACCTTTCAACAGCCACAGCGCAATATTTCACGCTCCCTTAGGATTCATGCTGCATGAAATCGGTTCACAGCCGCAAGTTTCAATTCTCAGTTGGCATGAATCGACCTATTTCATGGATGGATTTCCCCAAGATTAGAGCTTTACAAAACCCCTTGCTGTGTTATTACCCAAGTGAACACCCCACCTAAAAGTTTTATGTGAGTGGAAACATTAGACAAGAACAATATGTAGTGGTAGAAGTCTGCACAAGTGCTATTCTTCCCAGATGCAAGGAAAGCTTTGAATGGTTGACTTTGAATACTTCTTTTTGTCTTACTTGTATAGAACACAATCCAGAGATTCTTACTACATTTGATCAGTATTGTGTACTGCAACAATACATGCTGCTACGCAGAGTTACAGTGAAGAAAAAAACGTTTTAGCCCCGTGAAAGCAGGCAGTTTGTTTGCCAGAATATGTTCAAAAAGTCTGTACATAGAAGAGCTGGCTGCATGGTTCAGGTTCAAGAATTTTTTAATGGCTTGTACATCTTTGTGTGCTCTAGTGTAGATTAGGTAACTGGATCCCCTGTACCCCTCAAAGTGGCTTAGAGGAAGTGTCGAACCTTGAAGGAATAAAAAAGACTTCTTTCAAGGTTGAACAAGTTCTTGATACCCTTGTTATCTCCATGTTAGATGTCCTTGTGGCCTTTGTATAACTCCATAATGCACTCTCAGAGCGTCCTTCAAATGCACAAGCCCATGCTCATTAGGGTATTAAATACTTGTCACTGTTGTCACAAAACACAAGAAGTTGATACCATCCATACTTCTTCTTTCTCCTTGAGTTGGCACTAAATAGTGTGTGTTTCTTAAAGAGGGGGTCGTTCTGCAGCAGCTACTCTGTTTACTGCCCCAAAATATGAAGTATTGGCTATAGTCAAGGCTTTGCAATACATCACTACAAAAATATTTTGACAACATGTATTGGCTAGGGAACAAAAGCAGCAGTAAACAGACCTTCTCTTTTATCATGTCAGTGTTTGCTCTTATGTAGAATGGCCATTTTGCCAGCACCACTCTGAATTATTAATTCTTGATGTAATTGGTCTGAGATTTTCTCTCTCTGAATCAAAATACACTGCATTCCTTTTCCTTTGTCACCTTTCTACATTCTGATTTGTGCTTGGTATTTGGAGTCTTTTGCTGAGTAGGTTAAATATAGCCGCAGGTAGAAACTCTATCAGTGGGGGACAAGGATAGAGTACAAAAGCCACATGAAACCCTTTCTGAAGTGTGTGTAACGTGGGGTATACTGTATCTGGACGTCTACTGACCCCCTGCCTGCAACTGGGGATATCAGTTGTATGTGTCAAAGGGATCAAAATCGCTTCATAACCTTTTCTTTGGCTCCATGGCAGGCTCTATGGGTTAGGTTTTTCTGCCCTTAAATGTGTCTTTTCCTGGTCTGGTTTCTTGGCAGCTTACAAGATCAGAACTACAACCAGAAAAAGCACATTATAACGAAGCCCCCAAATGCTTGCTAAGTAGGTTAACCTTTTCCCTGCTATAGGCCACACTAAAACAGGCTACCCCATGCACTGACTGAATTTGTCCAGGGACTCAACAGCATCAATGGCATGGTGTTGTCAGAACTAGAGTACCAAATGCACAACACCAAATATTCAACCACACAAGTCATGCCCTGTCCGTGCCTGGTCCATGTAAACATTTACCATTTTCTGGGTCTAACATCAAATAATGCATTAGCTGTACTATCAATGCATGTGTGTGTAGATGTAATTTGCCCTCCAATTTGCACCATAGATTTTGATGAGTGTGCACACAGATGAATTGACGGACACTGCCTGTACAGTTTATTACTACCGGTATATCTGGCAAAAGGTGATTACTAGTACATGTAGTTCTTTTTAGATCATCTCTACATCTGATACGCTTAAAATTTACGGCAATGCTGACCCAAAACTTTATTCCCCTGTGTTCCCAAATTGACTTAACAACCGATCTGCTTTAGGTCTCTCCGCTACCCAACAACAGGTGTCTGGGGGTGTGTCAGTCCCACGGGCGGACCATATTTTGCATGATAACAAACTATTTTGTAATTGCACTTAATTGTGTTAGCCATCAAAGAAAAAATATGGTAAAACTGATAGCTTGAATTGCCAGCAATATTAGACTAAGGCTCATTATCAAGCTCCGACTAGTATGCGCC